CCCCAAAACCCCAAAACCCCAAAACCCCAAAACCCCAAAACCCCATAAATTTTAATATAAGTTGAATAAATGAGGAACAGAAGAAAACGCAGATGCTGACCCTGGTCAAGAAACAGTAATGCTGAGGTGCATCCAGAGACAGAAGAAAGACATTTGGGAGAAAATGCAAGAAATATTAGAGGGGATGAAGCCTTTGCCAGGCAAATCCAGATGATCAATCAACAGGAGCAAGAGAGTGAGGCAGAAGTTAATATTTTTAATATTGACTCTCAGTACAAGTAAAGAGGATGTTCAGCACATGGATTTCGCTCCTGAGTCAGAAGAGGATCAGCTTACTTATAAATATAATTGACCTGTCTGACTGAGATATTTTGATAAAATTCTCGCGGGAAAATGCTGAGGAAACTACCTCTGACATCTATGAATTGGTGACTTCATACAAATGGCAGATCGAAATAAACATTACAAAATGAGGTGCCCAATGTGAAATCATGAAGAGCTCAACTTACAGGATGTCAACCCTGACGAAGAAGTCAAGAAATACGGCAACACATTTATCAGTGCTAAAAATTTAAAAGAAACTTTAAAGGGAATATGTGATAATGATGACAAGATTATTTTTATGAAAATGAGCAAGTTTCTAGAGCAGATTCAGCTGAGACAAGCATCAAGTGCCAATAACTTTTATCCATCTAAATTAGACACTGAGTGTAAAATATCCTAAACTTATCCTATAGTTGATTCAAAAGATAATATTGCTAATTTGCAGCATTCTTTAGAGCAAAAAGTAATTCTAGCTCATGATTTCTAGAACAAAACTCTTCAAGACTTTGACAAGATAGATGTAGAAGGATTAGGAATAAATATTATAACCTCTCATGAAAGACCTGGTGCTTCCAATGATAGTATAAACTATCGAGATGACTTGGAGTAATTTTAAAGCTTAATGTTACAAGGGAACAAAAAGATATGATAAAAATGTCACCACACAAGTCAATATTTTCTCTCAAAGGAAACGAATCTGGGAATTTAAGAGAGATATTGAGCGATCATCAAGAGACAAAGATGAAAGACTTCAATGATCAAAATCAAGAAGACAACCGAGCATACATTGATATGAGTAACAATACATAACTGGTTTTCAACAAAGTTATGAATCACAGGGGTTTTGGGGTTTTGGGGTTTTGGGGTTTTGGGG